TTATTCAGGTACAAGCTCTCCCTCCTCTGTGAGGACAGATCTGCATGTGTCCCCACCCCCCAATAGCTAGCAAACCAAAACAGTCCAGTGGAGCCTGAGCGGTGGGTGTTGCCTTCTGACACACTTCCGGTGATGTCAGGGGGTGTGGCATATGCAAATAAGTTATGCTAATGAGCTCCTGCACCTCTTTTTCTATGAAACGACTCCTGATCTTGAACCAGGCTACGCCACTAGTAAGAGGAAGCTGGCTAGCCCCTAGATAGGGTTGCCAACCTCCAGGGGGCACCCGGAGATCTCCCACTATCCCAACTGATCTCCAGCCAACCAAGATCTGTGCCCCGGGAGAAAATGGCTGCTTTGGAGGGTGGAGTCTATGGCATCATACCTTGCTGAGGTTCCTCCCCTCCTGGAATCCTGCCCTCCCCAGGCTCCACCCCCCAAAATCTCCAGGAATTTCCCAACCCAGAGCTGGCACCCCTTCCCCGAAACGCAGCCTGCCCCCGCAAGTCCTAAAATGGACAAGCAGGAGAAAGGAAGTGGAATTCTTTAGCAGAACAGACAGTTCGGGTAGGTCAGCCAGTCTACGGCTTTACATCGATAGCCTTCCCAAGGAACCCGTGTCCCCTCCCCGGAGACACCCTCGGCAAAAGAGCACCAGAGCGACCACGGCCTCCCCACAACCCCTCTGGGCGGACCTTCCCGCTCCCCTACCTGCCACACGCTTGATTCGACCTACTGCCTCCTCGTCTGTGGGAGTGGTTACGGGGCTCAGCACCTCCTCCAGGTGCGGCCCCCGCAAGTGCGTGTGGGGCCGTTTCCTCCGGCGCACCGTGGATTGCTTGCCTGCCTTCTCTTTGGGGGATTGTCGGTGAAGCTCGGCTAGGTATGTGCTCTCCGTTTTGGTCAGTTCACTCTCTGCCAAAGGAAAGACACATTCAACAAAGAAAGAGGATACCGATTTCATCTTGGGCAAAAAGGAGGTAAAGGCAGAGCCGGGGCAACCCGAGAAAGGGGCTTCTGGGTGGCAGCACCAAAACTTTGGAACTCCTTCCCCAGGGAGATTCGTCTGTCTCGTTTTAGTGTTCTCTTCTGCCAGAGGGTAAGGACACTTTTGTTCCATTTGGCATACATTTCTGTTCTGCCTTGCCACCCAAAGAGAGCCAGTTTGGTGGAGTGGTTAGGAACGCGGACTCTAATCTGGGAGAACCGGGTTTGATTCCCCACACCTCCCCATGCAGCTACTGGTGTGACCTTGGGTCAGTCACAAGTTCTCTCAGAGCTGTTCTCTCAAGAGCAGTCCTCGAGAGAGCTCTCTCAGCCCCACCTACCTCACAGGGTGTCTGCTGTGGGGAGGGGAAGGGAAAGGAGATTGTAAGCCGCTCTGAGACTCCTTTGGGTAGTGAAGGGCGGGGGTATAAATCCAAACTCTTATTCTTCTTCATACCCCCAACAACTGTCATTGGCCTTCCTCCCTGGTTTTGGTGTTGTGGGTTTATGAATTTATATACATTTCTGCATTGTTTTATATATTCTTCTAAATGCTGTCTTAATGTTCAAATGTTTTCATGTTCACCAGCTCGGGGACCCTATTTGAAGAAGATGAGCTGGTTTTTATACTCTGCCTTTCATGACCCGAAGGAGTCTAAGGACATCTTACAATCATCTTCCTTTCCTCTCCCCGCAACAGACACCCTGTGAAGTAGGTGGGGCTGAGCGAGCTCTGAGAGAACTGTGACTGGCCCAAGGTCACCCAGCTGGCTGCATGTGGAGGAGCAGCGGGGGAATCGAACCCGGTTCTCCAGATTAGAGTCCACCGCTCGTAACCACTACACCACACTGGCTCTCTTTGGGCGGGAAGGCAGCACAAAAATGTTTTAAATAAAATAACGGGGACTGTTTCTTATATAAATACATCACAACGGGTGGAAACTGATTCCCCCCACAATGGACCTGAATAATGTGCCCAAATGTACAGAGAATGATTTGGTGTAAGATGCGCATGGGGGTTCCGAAATGGGCCCCAGGAACAGTCAGGGACGCTTCGGTCACATTTTCCTTTTTCTGTGCCGAAAAATAAATAGGTTTTTAAAAATGCAAAATAAAATAAAGTTGCAAAATGCAAAAGAGAGCGAGTCGGAGATTCCCCCCCCCTCTTCAGCTTACACAGAAAAGCAGCGCAGAATCGAGACTCTCCAATCGAAAGGACTAGAGGAGGACTAGAGGTCGCAGTGGAGCCGGAGCGGCTGCTTCTGCTTCTGCTACAGGAGCGGCAGGCAAGGCCGACCCCCGACTTCCCCCATGCCCCACCAACCAAACTTTTCTGGCTGCGCTCCTGGTTGACCCTGCTAAGGTTCGGATAGGTGATATGATCAGGCTCAGCTGCGTCATCCAGGTCAGAGCAGCTTTGCCTGCTTAACACCAAGCTAAACCCAGTTCTCCGGATTAGAGTCCACTGCTCGTAACCACTACAACACACTGAGTTTTTTTGTCCGAGGGGGCAGCGCTCATCTCTGGTGGGGCATTGCCACAAAATGCCCCTGTGTCTATGGGCGGGGGGGGGTTTAAGTCCTGGTTATTATTTGAAGGGGAAGCCACCAAAGTCGTCTAGGGGTGCTACACAGAGGCAGGATTGAGACCTCTGTTCATCTCTGGCATTGAAACCCCACCAGGGGTCACCGTTCAGTCGACTGCGACTTAATGGCACTTTCCACCACCACCAGGCAAAGCTAAACCACTGATTTGGAGAAAAGCCTGGTAAAAGGGTTTCAGACAAATGAACAGCTCCTCAAGCCTGATTTTTGTGCTCATGGTGCCCACTTATGGTTACCACCACCCCTACCACCCCGCTGCCGATTAGCTGGCCAGGCGGGGGACTTACCAGGAGTGGGAGGAAGGCCTATGGCTTGTCACTGGCAACACAGTGATGTCACTTCCAGCATGCACCGGAAGTGAGGTCATTGTGTTTCCGGAAACACTCTGGTAATTGGGCAAAACCTCTATGGTAGAAGCCATTTTTACCACAGAGTTTTCCCTCAAATACCAAAGCATCACGGGCAACAAGACTTAGGCCTCCTTCCCACTCTTGGTAAATGTCCGTCCCTCCCGCCACCAGTTGCCAGGAGGAACTTGGCAACCCTATGCCCACTGAAAGCCTTGTTCTGGCACTCAAGAACATAAGAACTTAAGAGAAGCCATGTTGGATCAGGCCAATGGTCCATCCAGCCCAACACTCTGTGTCACACAGTAGCCAAAACCCAGGTGCCACCAGGAAGTCCACCAGTGGGGCCAGAACTCCAGAAGTCCTCCCACTATTGCCCCCCAAGAACCAAGAATGCAGAGCATCGCTGCCCCAGACAGAGTGTTCCCTCTATACCTTGTGGCTAAGAGCCACTGATGGACCTCTGCTCCATATGTTTATCGAATCCCCTCTTGAAGCTTGTAGCTGCTGCCACTTCCTGTGGCAGTGAACTCCACATGTTAATGACTCTTTGAGTGAAGAAGCATAAGAACAAACACACACAGCCCGTGGCACGTGGCTCTCACCTAAGTGGCGGAAATAATCGTCCAGGCCGCTCCAGAAGTTCTTCTCAATGAAGGATTTCACTAGCCCCCACGGCTGTTTCCTGTATCGTAGCTCCGTAGAAACCCTGGAAGAGGAGAGACTCTGGTCACTTCCCTGGAGCCACGGCGCTGCCCCACTCTAAACAGCGGTCACATCCAGTGTTCCCTCTAAGCTGAGTTAGTGTGAGCTAGCTCAGTTTTTTAGCCTCCAGCTCACACGGTTTTGTCTTAGCTCAGGAAGGGATGGCTCCAGAGCAACCTAAATTATGCAGTAGCCAAGTCACTCGCTCACAACCTTAATGCCAGTAGCTCACTAAGTAGGATTTTTGCTCACAAGACTCCACAGCTTAGAGGGAACATTGGTCACATCCAAACATCTGTATTTGGATTGGCCAACTGAAGTTGCCAGTTTGAAACATGGTATTTCTAGCCCTGACCTGGGTGGCCCCAGACTAGTCTGATCCCATCAGATCTCAGGAGCTAATCAGGGTCAGCCTTGGTCAGTATTTGGATGGGATACCCCCAAGGCCACCCGGGGTTGCTATGCAGAGGCAGGCAAGGGCAAACCACCTCAGTTCATCTCCTGCCTTGAAAACCATATGGGGTCGCCATAACTCATCTGCGACTTGAAGGCACTTTACACACATTTCTGGGAGACTGCAGGGTATGAAAATCAAGGAATAAAGGCCAGGCACAGGCAGGGAGAAAATGGGTCTCTCCCAGGGCCGTTGCTCCTTTCCCCCCTTCCCACTCCCAAATTAAAGGGATCGTCCTCCTTCGGTTTCTGGCACAGACGCCCTTAAAAATTAACAGCCGCCCTCCTTCCTCTCTAAGGACACGCAGACCGGCCTGCCCACCTGAGTCGGCATTTGTTTCTGGCGACACGCGTCAACGTGTAACGATTAATCGTGTAGAAATAATCGTGGTAGGGGACGTCGTGCGTTAGCACCTCTGCGTCTATCACGTAGCACTCGCTCTCTTGGCTCGCTTTGTACATTGTCTGGAGGGCGTGGAGAGAAGCGTGGAAGGACACAGGTTAGTTTGCTGAGGAAGACGCCGCGTGGGAAAGCATCTCTGGCAAGTGGTGCCGAGCCGTGCACTGCTCTCTGGAGTCTATGGGGGCAGGGCCTTCCGCCTTCCACATACTCACTTGAGTCTCAGTGACTGTGGCAGTTTTGGGGGCCAGAGGGTTGGTGAGGGTGATGGTGTAGAGGATAACTCGGCTCTGATTTCCAGTTTCTTGCTTCTTCCACGGATGAAAGACGATATCTGAGTAAAGAGAGAAAGAGACAGAGGGAGGGAGGGAGAGGCAGGGGGAAAGAGGGGGAGGGAGAAAGGGAGACAGAAGGAGAGAGGGGGGAGAGAGGGGGGAAGGAGGAGAAGAGGGAGGGAGAGAGATGGAGGGAGAGGCAGGGAGGGATAAAGGGGAGGAGGGAGGGAGAGAGGAAGGGAGGGAGGGTGGAGGGAGAGGGAAGGAGAGAGGGGGGAGGGAGAGAGAGGGAGGGAGGGGGAGAGAGAAGGCAGGAGGGGGAGGGGAGGGGAGAGGGAGAAGGAGGAAGAGAGTGGGAGAGGGAGGGAGGACGAAG